CAAGTGACTTTTGTTCTCTCCACGTCCAACAGTGTTTTCTTGAGACTTTGAATTCTTTGTGAGCACGGTTGATGACTAATATATATATATATATCTTTTTTCTCACCCATGGCACCTTGAATAGTTGTAAAGACATAGCACTGGCTCAGTAAGTCATTATTGTTTTACTAAACAATATGTCATCTCATCCAAGTATCTGAATAGTTGAATCCTAAATTACCCTCCAACATAAAAATTGATTTATTTGGTCAATAAATGTTGAAAACTGAAAATTGTCACTAGAAAACATCCAGCTTCATAGTGGAATGTATGTTGTACATGGAGATACTGTACTAGGTCTAGGAGCTCTGGCAAAAGGATTAGATTTATATACTGTCATCAAGATTCTTATAGTCTGTTACTCAAAAGAAGCCATTTAGATACATATCATGGAAGGGAAGACCTTGGTGAGTCCCTTAATCTCTTTGGGGCCCTACTTGTCTGTGAAATGAGATGATACTACTCACATTGTATGATTATTTTGAGGCTTAAACAAGTTAATACATGTAGAGAACGTAGAACAGAGCCTGGCACATACTAAATATTGTGTTTGTATCATAGAAACTAATAAAATCCAGTAAAATCTATCAGTAGTAACTCTGTCATAGAACAGAAAAATTTTCTCTTGAATCTTGACATCAAAACCCTCATGACCATGAAACCATAAAAGCTAAATAAGTATTTTCTTTAAGAGATCATTAAACCATTCCTTTTGTTTAAAGGGAAAAGGGGAGGAATGTATAGCTTTTCTTTTCCCATTTCTTTATATGATTTTAAGAAATAACTATTAAATCACTAAGAGAGATCTGAAAAATGTGACTTCCATAAAAAGCAGTCATAACTCCTACCCCTGCTTTTACCCTGGCCCCAAGGATTCTGCAACTTACTAATATCTAGGCTCAACCAACCCTTCTAAATAAAAGAAAAAAACATATCAAATGTTAGTCAACAGCTGTGCCCCAAGGTAAAAATCAAATTGAATAATTTAAGTGGCACGGCACGGCATGTCATGCCATGGAGAATAAATACATAACTGAGGATTAAAGGGAGACCTCTTTGTTAATCCCTGTGTGGCATGATCTACTGCTTGGTTCTGGGTCTTGCGGAGTAAACCTACTTCAGCAAATAAGTTTTTGAAGACTCAAAAGAAGTAATTGATTTTGAGGGTTACCAGGGAGTAGAATGTGAATGAACTTGAATTTGTATTCAAAACGAATAAAGCCCGAGAACAAAGTCTGACTTAGTCCACTGTTATATTTACCAAAGGGTGAAAGGTTTGCCCCTAATACTGTGGAGAGACCACTGAGAGCTTATGAAAGAGCCCTCAGCAGTGCCTGGTATATCACTGTGTGACAGTAAGTGCTGCCACTGGATCCAGGAGATCTTGGACTTTCACCAGAAGCTCCATGAGAGAGCTTAAATTGAAGTTGCAGATTGAACATGCCAAATCTGAAAATTTAAGATTGGAAATGCTGTAAATCAGAAACTTTTTGAACACACCACCATGATGCTTAAATGCTCATTGGAGCACTTCAGGTTTTGGGTGTTTGGTTTAGGGATGCTCAAACCAGTAAGTAGAATGCAAATATCACAAAATCAAAAAAAGAAATTCCAAACACTTCTTGTCCCAAGCATTTTTGATAACAGCTATTCAACATTTGCCATATGCTGTGTAGCTTTTTCTTACCTGCTGGTGGCAAACTTTTGGCTCTTACACCAACTTACATTGCTTCTTACTAAGTTGCCCTTATGACTCCAAAAGAGAGGCAGCCATTTTATTTACCCACTAGGGTAGTGCAGAGTCCTTGGTACTCTGGGCCCATCATTGTGAACCTGGGCAGGTCAGCAAGGGTGGGGCCCAAAGGCCTGGGTATTGCTAGCATTATTACTGTTTTTTCTAGGGGGCTGAGACTTTGCAGGGAAACCTGCTTCTTTAGGTCTCATGACTGTTTTTAAACTCTTCCCTTTATGTTAGGGCCTCATCCCACTCCAACAGATTTGCTTTCCAGATTCTGAATTCCTTTCATGTGAAATAGTACATGGTGGTCTGACTAGTGATTATGAGACAAAAGACAATTTTTTTTTCTAAGTTTGATGTTTTATGTGTCCTTTCTCCATTTATTTTTTTTTTTTATAATTTCTTCATCTCTCTTTTCAGTTCTGGTATTATTTAGTGTTTTCATAGCATGTTATAGCTGAGTTCCTTGTGATCATTTGTAGTAGTTACACAACAAATCATGTATAGAGCATGAGCCAGCACTTAGCCAGATAATGAAATGGAAGAACTCTGCCAAACCCAGCATCATAATTTCCCTTAATAAAACTCTACTGTGTCATTTAATTTGGTCTCTTTTTAAAACTTGAGCCTCCACCAGGCTATTTTAGGGAAGGGTACTATAAGGTCTATTGCATAAATGATTTGACTTACAATTGAGCTAAGAATACAGCGAGCCACTTCCTAGAGTTATTTTTTAAAAGAATGAGAAAGGACTTCTTTGAAAAAAAAGTGTTTTCTGAATATAACTACCTTGGGTCTAAATTTTTTGCTCATTTCCTAAAGTCCTGTATAACTTTGGAATTGCTTTGTATTTTGTAGAAAAGGTTTTGTATTCTAATATAGAAATTCTTAACTTGCCTTGCTACCTAAATTCAAACGCATTCCAGAATAATCCCTGGCACATAGTAGGTGCTCAGTAACTATTTTTTGACCCCTTAGCTTTCTACATTTCTTTTTACTAGGACATTGTCTCCTCTTAAGCATAATATTCAACAAATGTCATGGGCTATTCTGTGATTTTTCATTTCATACTCACTTGCATACATTTTACCTCTTTAAAATCTAGCCGTTTTGCAGTCTCATCAATGTGGAACCCAACTAAAACTAAAGTAGAAATTAGTGCCTAAGATTAGAGTTTCTTGTCATCTGGCAGGGAAACGTGATACATCTGGGAAATCTTTTCATCAGAAGTGCTTCATAAGGTATGGTACTGGAATCCACTATTGTGAGGTGACTGTCAGCTAGTTGCTTATATCACTTTGGCTTTGGCTTTGGTTTTCTTGTCTATCAAATGTGAGAGCAACACTCAGTGATCTCTCAAGTCGCTTCCAACTCTAAGATTTCTATGATCCTATGCTTCTCAGGCCACCCTCCCCTCCAGTCCTGTAGGCTCCCTTATAAAAGGAGACTGGGACATGTAGGGAAGTCTTACCAATCTGTGACTTTAAAGGAATAAACTTTTAGCTGTCCAGCAAATCTGACTATCCAGAAAAGGCCATTTCTCCAGGGTATATCGGTTAGCCCAAATTTTACTGTACATTAATACATACTTAGAAGGACTAATTTACTGCTTAGGAAAACATTTGGGAATGGTTAAAACTGTGGAAAAATCTTAATTCTCGGTAGGGAATGTTGACTTTAGTGTATACAATTGCCATTTTGTTGTTACACGTATTCCCCCTTTTTAGGCTAGAACTTTCTTTGGGATGAGGGGGATGGATGTACACCTGTGTCACATAGGAGCCTGAATGTTAATTCTTTCTGCTGACACTACTAATCCCTTGTTCCTGTTCCTAAGGGCACTGTTGATAAGTGTTATTCAAAGTAACACTCAGAGTAGGTGAAGTACTTTGTCAGGCTGCCCTGCATCCCAGCATCTGTTCCCTGTGGTGGTATCTGCCTCCAAAAGTCTGTGTTTGCAGAACTGGTGGACTTATACAAAGGAATGCACTAATCCTCTGATACTCCAAACGAGGAGGGTGGGACAGAGAGAATGAGGAGACAGGAACTTTTAATTAGCTGCTAGAATGCAATACCTAGCCCCAATCCTTTCTAAGCATTGAGGAAAACAAGTGACCAGATGGAATTAGCTTTTCTACACCCCAAATAATTCTACCTTATAAAACTAGATGAAATGAAGTCCCATTTCTCTTGAGAGGATGGCCAGCCCAATCTGACTTGAGTAATGTTTCCATCTTTGTTCCTTTCCTTCCTCACGAACTTCCAGTCACAGCCCCGTGTGTCCTGCCATACGGTGTCCCAGGTTCTGCCTGATATTTAAGCCCCTCTAAATTCTGGCTACACACATACTCCTGCACACCTGACCTTATTTCCCATAATTCCCCAACCCTGTTCTGAGATGCAGTGATACGTCCTGTACTCTCCTACGGGTTTTGTTCATTTCATTGTACTTACTCAGGATGCTCTCCCTTCATTTGACCACTTAGGTCCAGCCCTTTCTTAAAAATTTAATCAAAGCCCCAGCTCTTTCATTGAGTGTTCCCCAAATACTCTGTGTTTTAGTACTCCCAAGCCTTGGAAAGCCCCCCAAGTTTAAGGTTACTCATATTCCGTCCTGTAGAATATATTAACTTTGCCTCCTGCATAGCTCTTGGCACAGAACAGAAGACACCCTAGGTACCCTTCTAAACCTTAATTGGGGGTTAGGTTTCGAAGGACAGCCTTGTAGTCAATGTGATTCAGAAGAAGATGTGGTTCTGTGCCAGTCTGGCAAAGACAAACACTGATGGTTGAGGCTATAGCAGGGTGTGCATGGTGGGCACATGAAGGTAGCCTCCTCCACTGCATTTCACGGCTCACCCTGGATAGTTATTTGTAAAAGGATTTTGAGATAATTGAGCAATTTATGTGTGTGAGGTACAGAGACTCCAGGAGGGAAGGGGGTGGGGGACGAATGGGTGTTTACAGGGTGGGAGATGTGTCCACCTTGATTGTTTTGGATCATGTGATGTTCATCTCCCTCCTCTCCCCTGTCCCAATGTGTATCTGTTATCTTAATCTACCTCTTCAGGAGGCAGTTCAGGCCTACTAATTATGATCAATCACAACTCATACTTAAATTAAGTTCATGGCCAAGCCTTCAGTGTCAACATGATAGAAACAATTTCTGTCTCTACTTTGGCCCCACCACTACTGTCTTTTTTTTTTCCTTTTCGCACATTAGGTAAACCCCACAGCCCAGTGTACCCACGCTCTGTTGAAGATGATCTACTGCTCCCACTGCCAGGGTCTCGTGACAGTGAAGCCATGTTACAACTACTGCTCAAACATCATGAGAGGCTGTTTGGCCAACCAAGGGGATCTCGATTTTGAATGGAACAATTTCATAGGTGAGCAAGTGATTAACATGTTTGTGTTGCTGGAGAGAGTTTAGCTTCCAGTCACAAGGAATGTTGTAATTGGCAGCTGTGATATTTGTTTGTTTTAGTGTTATTTAGTGTTTGTCAGAATCCTGACTATGCTCAACTACTTTGAGTATAGTAAAAACATTACTACACGTAAATGTCCCCTTGAACTAATGGTGACATTTCTGAAGGTAATAGATACAGTGGCTGCCAGGTTTTTATAACAAAAGAATGCCTATTTCTCGGAGACAGGGTCTCTTTCTGTCACCTAGGTTGGAGTATGGCAACACAGTCAGCTCTCTGTAACGTTAAACTCCTAGGTTCAAGCGATCCTCCCGCCCTTGGCCTCCCAAAGCCCTGGGATTATCGGCATGAGCCAGTAGTCCCCAAGAAAGTGACTTTTTATATTTTCCCCCTAAAAGTCTGTTGTGGTTATCATTAAAGGCTTGTATCCATGTAAATGCTGGAGTACAGTCCTCATGGAGTTGTGAAAGTGGCTTTTAAAATGTTATATCTGTTACACTGCAACCAAATCTTCTGCAAACCTGCCAGATATGCATTTGTTACTTGGATCAGGTGAAATCTGATTGAGAAATTTAGGGATTCTGTTTCTGTACATGATTTAGCAATAGTAGTCTGCTCTGGTGAGAGTGGAAGAACTTTTGCTCCGAGAGTTTAAGAGATACGTATTCCTGCATATATATTCCACCTAGAAAACCATTCTTGGAACCTAGACAGCAATGTAAATGAAGTGGCCAATTGCTGAGAGGGTTAGTTATGATTTTGGGGAAAGGACAAATTAAGGAGAATTTAAATGTCCAGATGTCAGTTACCTTGATGCCTGAAACAACAGTGACCAGTGTTGAAGTTCCTTGTGCTGAGTATTAGTAGGACTGCACACACATACTAACAGCTCACAAAAAGAAACTCACATTTTCCCCCACCCCAGTCACCTCTGCATAATTGCCAAATTTGAGTGTCTTTATAAGCACCTATTTTTCACTTATTTGTCCAAATCATGGGAACGTGCATGCAATTTGCTGGCTTTTTTTTTTTTTTTTTTTTGGCGGGGTGAGGGGTGTTAAGGTTGGGGAATGCTTTTTAGTCTGTGTGAGAGCTAATTACCATATTAACTCCGTTTGAAAGTGCATCAATAAATTGGCTCCAACAGATTCTTAAGAACACTGACACAGGGGAAAAAAAAAGATGTGAATATTAAGCACTTCAGCACAATTGTAGCCTAAATAGCTCAAAGCTAGAAGACCTGAAAAAATCTTCTACACACAGAAAAGCAGAATCTCATGAAAGGGAAGGCATAAGACCAGCAAAGACACACAGGCCAAATGGCATGTCATGCCCAGAATGAAGCCATGGGAGAAATTGTTGCTTCAAAATATTTCTCATGGAAGTAAAAACCCATAGCATTTACAGATCTAAAGTTGCTGTTTTTTTTTTTTTCTCTCTATCTGTAATCCCACATTCATCCCCACACCCAAATGTCAAGTTTGCAGTTCACTTTTGCTAAATTGATTTTTTGAAGAAAGTTGGTGATTCTTTTCAATTTCACCATACTATAATACACTGTTTCTCCAGGCAAAAGAGCAGAATTTGCCATATGGCACAAAAAATGTGACAGTGATCAAGTTTTGCTAACGTTACTACAGACACATTGGGAATGGAGTGCAGAAGGGCATGGCCCTTGCCATCATTTTGATATTCTAACGTATCTAGCAGCAGCTATAACTAAACTCATATTCCTATATTAAAATACAAATGCTCCTACATATTTTTCCTAGAGTATAAAGGTCCATATCAAATCAAAACCACACTCTGGCTTTTAACCGATGTTTTAAATCAGTTACTCTAAAACAAAGAGGACTTAAGTTGCTGTTGTTGGTTCTTGTTGTACACTTTTTAAATTATGCTTGTCATCTCTGAAGAAACAAAATTAAACCCAAGTAGAAGTTGATAGGATTTCTGAATTGATTTTTTCCTAGTTATTTTAAATGATAACTTTTTGGAGGAATGAGATATGTCATTGTATCTAAACTTTGCTTTTAATGGGTATACTATTCTTTATTTCTAATAACCAGATATAAAAGACCAGGAGTAATAGACATTGTTAATCTCCAGTGCTTTTTCATGAAATTTTCACAAGGGTTTAATTAATCTGCTTTGTGCTTGTACAATTCAGTCCCAATTTACATGCCTCTGCTGTAAATTCTTTTTTATTTCTTGTCTTTTTTTTTTTCCTCTGCAATGAATTTTTCTTTCCTCTTTAAATGACTGCAGCTAATGAATGGTCAAGGGCTTTTTCCCCCTTCTTTAAATCAGATCTCAGGGTTAAGTCAGGAAACTGCCCTTTGTTCTTCCAGTCAGGTCGCAAGGCTGAAGATGTGGGTTTCTGATTATTGGCGGCACAATGCAGAAGGAATCGCTTTCTCTAGTGAGAAGGGGATGCTTTGTTGCTGGGGGTGTGGGGAGCAACTCAGTGCCAGTGTATTGAGCAGTGAAATCATGCAGTTGGACTAGACCCTTTAAGAGACTAAGGATGAACCGATTTTCCAAAGCTGTCTTCTTGTTGCCAGTGCCCTTCCTCTCCTCTCTTAGCTGCATGTGTGCATGGCCATGAATTGAGACAATGTTGAAGTCTTGTCAACCTTTTATCACGATGGATCCAAATAGTTAAAACACCTTGGAACTTGGTTTTATAAGAGGCTGGTTTATATGAAACCTTCACTTGGAAAAATAAACCAAATACCTCCCTTGCCCCCACCAACAACAAAAGTCAGTTTCTGGAGAATCATAAATTATGCTAAGGTGCAACTTGTTCTCCATCACATACTGTAGCTGTGTTAACATTCATTTGACTCAGAGCCAACCCTATTAATGTCACAGGTTGCTGCCAGTGGGAATTTAGTATTGGGATTGCTGGCGGAGACACCAGCCAGGTCCTGGCAGGAGGCAGGAGCCAGTCGGATATCCCACAAACAAGGGCCCCTGGGGCTTATATCAGCCAGAAGAAAACCCAGACTCCAAACCAATCATCTTTGGCTTTCTCTTGAGGCTTCTTATCAGGGCTGGCTGCTGTTACAGAAGAGCCAATTGATAGCCAATCATGGTTTCCTCCAGGGGTTAGAGGCAACTTTGGCTCCTGGGCTGCAGACTGCAGGCAGAATGCTCTTCAGTCGCATTCTTCAGCTGTGCAACATGCAACGCCATAGCACCGGCCCCAACAAAGGCCCAGCTTCCCCCTCCATTCCCAGGCCCTTGTGTGTAGCCGGCTGGCTCAGAGTTTACAAAGACACCAAAAAGCCAGAAGAATTGGGGTTTATGTTTCCTTTCAGTCTTTCACAAACACATGACTGATCTGGCCATTCCTCACCACTAGGGGAATGAGGAGTTACAAAATGCACTGGGTTTTGTTGTTGTTGTTATTTAAACATCTCCATTTTAGATGTTTATTATCTGTCTATTCATAATATTTTTTTTTGGAGCAGGTGATTTTCTTCTCAGCTTACAAAGGAATGTATTTCTGTACGTGGCAGCCCTGATGATTTGACAAAGATGAACACATTTAAGTTGTGCTCCACTTGTTTGCAAAAATCTACTTTTGCTAGCACATCAAAAGCATTTTTTTCTCCTAGTATAATGGTATATTCATGCTTTTAGCCCTTACTTAGAGGTTAGAAACATCACTTGATTGGCGCTTACCACAATGCAATCTGAAACTTCATTTGTTATTAACTGTTTTAAAAATTGCATTTCATGGAAATCTGTTTGTGGTTTGTGACATTGGAATTGTAGTTTAGAGAAATGACCCCGTGCATTAGAATGTTGCATAGGATTTGTTCTAGGTTGAAGGTGAAATGTTGATGACCAGGTTTGGTTTCATTGATATGCTGATGCCTATGCTCCTTTCCAGCAAAAAGCTTAGGTAGAAGCTCAGCTGGGGGCTGCAGCGGTGTTCTTTGGGAGGGACACAATCTTCCGGAAACTAGCCCTTCTTTCTAGTAGCCATCCTTGTACAACCTGAAGGTGATAGATAATGTGGGTCTAACTCCTTTTTTGCCATGCACTAAGCACTAGAGTGTAAAGGGGGGATAAGCAAGTTTAAAAGTTCACTGTCATTAGTGAAGCATCCTTTTTGTCATTTGGGGTTTTCATTTCCAAGTTCTTCTAGTTTTGTACAACAGGTAGCAGGCAAAATTACTAAGCCTCATAATCCTAAGGAACATGTATGGCAAGAAACAAAGACAATGTATTTTATTGAAGTGATTCAATGCTTACTGGAAAATGCTAGGCTACTCCAAAGTCTAAAAGTGACTTGCAGGATAATCGGTGAGATATATACTGTGAGCCCACTAATTCTGTGTACTGTGTCTTGTGTTATCTTTTGACTTGGGGAAAAAAAAGGAGGTCCATGCTTTACTTTAAGATAAATTGAGACCCTTGTATTTGAAATGAGAAGTTTTTCTTAATACAAAAATTGCATTATTCAAAGTTTCATTATTTGAAAATTCATTAGAATTTCTAGGAATCCTTTCATTTGTATTTTACAAGGGTACACTCAAGGATCTGAGGCATTTTATTTTTATAAATGAAAGAAAAGAATTACTATGCCAGCATCTTAACTGATTTATGTTTTTGACTCTTGTAAATTCAATCTGAAATGAGAAGATCTTAGGGAAGTCTCTGGGAGAACTGGCATGTCATTTTGCCCCCAGCCTTAGGTTTGTCATCTGGGAGCTAACTAAGACCCTTACAATAACAGTGGCCGACACACAAATAGTCAGTATAGAGGAAGGTTCCTGATTGGGTTTCCTTGCTGTAGAACTAAGCCTTCATCTGGCCATTTCACACTTTAGAGAGCTAGTGAGACATAGTGACTAAATGTAGTTTGGTGTAAAGGAAATAGATGTAAAAACAAGAATTCATTATGATGCGTGATGCAGGAAACAGACAGGTACAAAATAATCAGACCGATTTACCCGAGGCCAAACTAATGATTGACTTTGTATGCTGTATTGTTTTTCCCCAAACCTCATATTAGATGCTATGCTGATGGTGGCAGAGAGGCTAGAGGGTCCTTTCAACATTGAATCAGTTATGGATCCCATCGATGTGAAGATTTCTGATGCTATTATGAACATGCAGGATAATAGTGTTCAAGTGTCTCAGAAGGTAATGAAGGCAGGATGCTGGAAAGGGGAGCTGGAGATACCCCCCCACCCCCCTGCCTTGGGATGTGACTTCCTTAACATGACCACATTTACTCCAATGCAGGTTTTCCAGGGATGTGGACCCCCCAAGCCCCTCCCAGCTGGACGAGTTTCTCGTTCCATCTCTGAAAGTGCCTTCAGTGCTCGCTTCAGACCGCATCACCCGGAGGAACGCCCAACCACAGCAGCTGGCACTAGTTTGGACCGACTGGTGAGCATTTTGGCAGGAAGGGCTGTGTTTGATGACAAAGAACTGAAAACTCTTGCTCAAAAGGAATTTTTAGCTGGAAGGCTGACAAGTGTGGGTCTTTCAGATGTCACTTTTTGAGCAAATAGGATGTGGATGTCAGTCAATCTGCCTGTCCCATTTTCTAGCTCAGAAAGTTCCTGGGTAGTCAAGGAGTTGTGATGCAATAAGTCCTGTCTCAAAACTTCTCTTTAGATTCACTGTTCATTTACTGAACATCTATTATGTGCCCATCACTGTGCTAGGCACAGAGAAGCTTAGAGAAATAAGACAGGTCCTTGTTCTCAAAGGGCATCAACAAGGAGGCCAAGAGGGAGAAGTAGATGTTCCAGGCTTATTAACATAAAATGATGTTTAATAAATGCTGAGGTGGGAGAAGGGTGAATAACTAGGCAAATTGCTTTATCCACAGTAATATGCTACAAAAATCTAAGTAAGTATTCCTATAGTAGTAGGAACACAGAAGAGGGAGCCTGAGGAGACAGGGATGGAAAGAGCAATAGCAGCTATGTTTCCCTGACTCTAAAAGCCTTGGGAGAAGAGACCGCATCTTATCTTTGTGCCTACAGGGCATGGAACCTGGTAGGCCTCAGATAGTACTTACAATGAAGTTGAGTGGACAAGGGGTCTAGGCCACTCCTTCGGAGCTTGCATTTCAACTATTCATTTGAGTGGTTTTGTACTTCTAAGATATAAATTGGAGCTACATCATCTTCTTCTAACTAAAGTTGAAAATGAATAGCATATCACTCTGGAGATACTTTGGAAATGGTCAGAAGGCACATTTGTAGATAGTTTTGTCTTGTCTTGCAATGATCTTTTTTTGTTGTTTCATAATTAGGTTACTGATGTCAAGGAGAAACTGAAACAGGCCAAGAAATTCTGGTCCTCCCTTCCGAGCAACGTTTGCAATGATGAAAGGATGGCTGCAGGAAACAGCAATGAGGATGACTGCTGGAATGGGAAAGGCAAAAGCAGGTTAGTGTCTGTTGAATGGATTTGCAGCTTCTCCCTTCCTAGATGCCTGCGTGACCTTCAGAGATGGTTCTCTCAGTTGTCAACCAAGGCATCAGGAAGCAATTCACAGTAGGTAGCAACAACATGGAAGGCTTCTAGGGGTTCTTAGGAACTGGCTTTGCACTAGGACTGTTGAGAAGGCACCTAGCTACTTACAAAGAGTGCTGAGTCCAAAGTTTGACAGTAGTTACAGTCTAGTATTAGGACCTTTCCAATAGTGTCATTATTTTTAAAATATTTAATGCCTGTGGCTCTTTGCCCAATGGCCTAGCCTCATAAAATGCCAGTTCTCAAAGGTCCCATTCTCTGACTTGATGCCCTGTGTCCCTCCCTTAGACACTCAGTTAACTTAGAGAAGTACCTATACTTCTTTACTTCAACCCACCAACCTCCTCAAAAGGGATAGGTTTCCTTCTTGCCTTTTTTTCTTTTTTCTGGAGACAGAGTCTCACTGTCACCCAGGCTGCTAGAATGCAGTGGCGCAACCTCTGCCTCCTGGGTTCAAGCAATTCTCCTGCATCAGCCTTCTGAGTACCTGGGATTACAGGCAGACACCACCACACCAAGCTCATTTTTATATTTTTTTTTCTAAAGACAGGGTTTTACTATGTTGACCAGGTTGGTCTTGAACTCCTGACCTCAAGTGATCCACCCACCTTAGCCTCCAAAAGTGCTGGGATAACTTTCAAGAAGGTTTCCATCAAAATGGAGAAACGAGACATCCACAGGAACAGGAAAGATTACAGTTCATTAGGAATTGAAGAACTTCCATCTGATTTTGCTTAGTGGAAATACCAGAATCTAGTAGAAATATTTGATAATACTCTTGCTTTTTGCTTTACAAATCATCTTACTGGGGTCATTTGACATTCCAGGTACCTGTTTGCAGTGACAGGAAATGGATTAGCCAACCAGGGCAGCAACCCAGAAGTCCAGGTTGATACCAGCAAACCAGACATACTGATCCTTCGTCAAATCATGGCTCTTCGGGCAATGACCAGCAAGATGAAGAATGCATACAATGGGAACGACGTGGACTTCTTTGATATCAGTAAGCATTTGCAGTTTGAAAGTACAAATTGCTCTTGTATGCATTCTGATGAGAATAAGTGGAATGAAATCTCTATTCCATCTTTTTTTTAACTAGGTGATGAAAGTAGTGGAGAAGGAAGTGGAAGTGGCTGTGAGTATCAGCAGTGCCCTTCGGAGTTTGACTACAATGCCACCGACCACTCTGGGAAGAGTGCCAATGAGAACGCCGACAGTGCTGGTGTCCGTCCTGGGACACAGGCCTACCTCCTCACTGTCTTCTGCATCTTGTTTCTGGTTATGCAGAGAGAGTGGAGATAATTCTCAAACCCTGGAAAAAGTGTTCACCATCAAAAAGTTAAAAGGCACCAGTTACCACTTTTCTACCATCCTAGTGACTTTGCTTTTTAAATGAATGGACAACAATGTACAGTTTTTACTATGTGGCCACTGGTTTAAGAAATGCTGACTTTGTTTTTCCATTCAGTTTTGGGAGGAAAAGGGACTGTACATTGAGTTGGTTCTTGTCCCTCAAACCATGTTAAACGTGGCTAACAGTGTAGGTACAGAACTATAGTTAGTTGTGCATTTGTGATTTTATCACTCTATTGTTTGTTTGTTTGTTTGTTTCTCATTTCGTTTTGGGTTTTTTTTTTTTTTCCAACTATGATCTCGCCTTGTTTCTTACAAGCAAACCAGGGTCCTTTCTTGGCATGTAACATGTACGTATTTCTGAAATATTAAATAGCTGTACAGAAGCAGGTTTTATTTATCATGTTATCTTATTAAAAGAAAAAGCCCAACAAGCAGTAACATTTCCATTTCTCCCTGTTATTTTAGTTGCCTTATCTGGAGAGACGTGGAGGTGATTTTGGTTTTTTTTTTTAATTATTATTAAGTTAGGACAGAATGTGAGGGCACAAGCAGGCTTCTGAGCCACTTGTCAGATTGTATTCAAAGCATCAATCCAAGAAGAAGGTTATACGTACTTCATTTATAGCTGGTAATTGGAAGAGACTGCAGACTACTGCTTTGACTGAGTTGAATTACATAAGCTAAGATTACTATAGGTCCATTTCTTGAACCCACTTATACTTAAAATGTAACCCATTTAGAAAAAGAGTTTAGATAGCATCCCCCTTGAAAGATAGAAGGTATTCAGGATATCCCAGTTCTCACATGTTCACACTTGGGTTTGGGGGTGTTTTAAAAACCAGGCAGGTTAGCTACTCCACCATGTGCTAGTTTTCACGTTCACACTGACTCTGTTTGAATTAATATCCCAGTGGCAGCAGTAAGTGACCTACAATCTCGTTTGATCCCCCTCATTAGAGTGGTTTAGATTTCAAACCCACCTCTGTACAGGGAGCTGTCTGGGAGCTAGCCAGAACTGGGGTACAGCCTGGGCTCAGGGAATAGCTGTCAACACTTGGGCAAAGTTTTGTCTGTGCATGTATATCTGCATTTGTTTTGGGAACCCAGTCTTTGTTTTAAGAGTGTATAAGGTATCTCCTTTGAGTCTTTTTCTCACCCAGCCCCCTGTTATCAGTAAAACAAAGGAATTGCCATGGTTCACAGCAATGTGTTTCGATCCACGGTATCAACCAAGTAACCCACTTAGGGGAGAACTAGGTGTCCAGATTTTTGTATGTGTTGTTTTTCTTAGGGGGTGGGGTGGGGTGGGAGTAGGTAGAGCTGAGAAGACTACATCTTAGCAGTGACCTTTAGCCATGTGGGTGAACTGGCAAAGGCCATGGCCATATCTATTGTCCCAGGCCAAAGAGTAACAACTGCCTTGGCCCCTTGGGAACCCCTGCCTTGTGTCCTTACCAAATGATAGCTCATAAAACTCTGAGAATGTAACAAATCACTTTCAAAGGAGTTCCCAGAAGTCTTCAGAAAGACTAAAATTCTGCAAGTCTCTTCCTGCTTTAGACAGCCATTAAGATCCCAACTGATTTTACTGAACCCACAAAGAGGTTGTTTGTGTTATTGTTCAATTTCGGTTGTAAGAGTAATTCTCTATTTTTATATTGAAACATAATTACTTGTTAGCTCAGGGTCTACATTTCATTCAACTTTTCACACCAAATTCTGCAGAGTGGTCAAAATGGAATATTGGGGGCTGTTGTAAACAGAGGCTTAATTTTATTAGAAGTAGCCAGTTATTTATTAAAGCATGATGTTAATAAAATAGGCATATTCTGGCTGGTTCGTATAAGTGGTTTTGTTTTTTTTTTTTAAACAAATCACAGAAGACATAAAATTGAAAAGGCACTCCATTTATATATGAGGAAAAATAGATTGTAAATAGCTACTGGGCCTTGTGAGAACTTGGAAAATGTGCTGATACTTAGTAACTACCTCAGTTGTGAGGAATTTCCTTTTTAGCTTAGACTGCTATTACTTTTACTTGGTAGAAATGAATCTGGTCTTCCAAATATGGCTCAGAGAGTTATCCCCGTAGACCTTGTTAGATTGTTTTTAATTTAAAACCTTGAACTCTGCCCAGCTGTTTTCTTTCAGTCAGGTTCTCTAAACCAATAACATTTTCCGAATTAAATATTCTTGAAGGTTCTTCTGGACTCTTACTGAATTGTTTTCTTTCTTTGCATTTTTTCCTGTTACTCTTTTATTATTTAAATTGTCTCTTGCTTTTGAACTTGAACTATGAAATAAACAAATCATAGATTTTTCCATTCAGGTCTGACTGGATAACTCTTGGCTTCTAACCAGCTGGCAAGCTCACACTCGCTCCCTAAAAAAGAAGAAAGGCAAGTTGAATATTTTAAAACCTTAGGAGTTTGGAGTATGAGGTAGAATAAAAGCCTTGTTAGGAGAAGACCTGACTTTTCCAAAGTTAACAGCATGTGAAGGGCTTGTGTTTTACAAAGTCATTTATAAATTATTTTTCTTTGAAACACATCACCTACTCTGTACCTTAAAGAAACATTTTACAACTCTTAGATTTATATTTTATTTCAAAAATCTTAACTAGCACCTGTTACTTTCATTAAAAGACACTGAGAAGAATTGACGTAAATTTCTAAAGTTTAGTTACTGAGTGTTCAAAACCTAACCGTTCACATGAAGTAAAACTTATCATATGTGATTACAGAATCAAAAATAGGTATGAATGGTGCTATACAAACTTCTGCTTGCCCTTTATTAGCAGAATCTATTTATTTACATGGCTAAAGGGTAGATATCTATTTACATAGCTAAAAGGTAGTAAGTTATTAGGTTGGTGCAAAAGTAATTGTGGTTTTTGCCATTATTTTCAATGGCAAAATACTAACAGTTTTATCTACTAGAGGAAGGTGTGTGTGTGTGTGTGTGTGTGTGTGTGTTGTATGTATGTGTGTACGCACACACATGTAATGTCACTGCAAAGCCAAATATAACTTTCTTCCTTTTTTGAAACAACAAAGTACTCACAAATCTCTTCTGACTTTGAACTTCATGGGAAAAAATATAACTGCATGCCATGATACACTTCACAAGTTCAGTTTCTGCTTTTTAACTCCTAAAATTTTTCTAAAATTCATTTTTATGCATGTGAAAAATATCTGAGACGTAACATTTGGTAACAGGAATTCTATTCCATCAATGAGCCACATGCCAAATAATATTTACTTGTCTACTTAGTTTTTAATTAGGTAATATGTTGACAGGGTTTAAAAACCAGAACATATATCAAGAGACTTAGTGAATTTTCCTCCCATTCCTGCTTCCATCTGCCAAGTTGTCCCCACAACCCAAGTAAGCTCTTACTAGTTACTTGTATATGTCTTCTTTCAAAGTTTCTTTATGCATGTGCAAGCTAATATAAATAGAAGTTTACCCTTTTTTGTCATATAAAAGGTAGCATTTTGTTTTGTTTTTTTGAGACAAAGTTTCCCTGTGTCCCCCAGGCTGGAGTGCAGTGGCACAATCTCAGCTCATGGCAACCTCCACTTCCTGGCTCAAGTGATCCTCCCACCTCAGCCTCGTGAGTAGCTGGGATTGCAGGTGTGCCTCACCACAACCAGCTAATTTTGTATTTTTAGTAGAGAGAGGGTTTTGCCATATTAGCTAGGCTGGTTTCAAACTCCTGGGTTCAAGTGAGCCTCCACCTCGGCCCCCCAAACTGCTGGAATTATAGGCATGAGCCACCATGCCCAGCTAAAACGTAGCATTTTATGCTTATAGTGTCCAATTTAGTTTTTTTTTAATTTTTTTAAAAAACTATACTTTAAGTTCTGAGATACATGTGCAGAACGTGTAGGCTTGTTACATAGGTATATGCACGCCATGGTGGTTTGCTGCACCCATCAACCCATCATCTACATTAGATATTTCTCCTAATGCTATCCCTCCCCTAGCCCCTCACCTTCTGACAGGTCCTAGTGTGTGATGTTCCCCTCCCTGTATCCATGTGTTCTCATTGTTCAACTCCCACTTTTGAGTGAGAACGTGTGGTGTTTAGTTTTGTGTTTTGGTGTTAGTTTGCTGAGAAGGATAGTTTCCGGCTTCATCCACATCCCTGCAAAGGACATGAACACATTCTTTTTTATGGCTGCATAGTATTCCATGCTGTATATGTGCCACATTTTCTTTATCCAGTCTATCACTGATAGACACGGGTTGATTCCAAGTCTTTGCTATTGTAAACAGTGCTGCAATAAACATACGTGTGCATGTGTCTTTACAGTAGAATGATTTATAAATCCTTAGGGTATATACCCAGTAATGGGATTGCTGGTTCAAATTGTATTTCTGGTTCTAGATCCTTGAGGAGTTGCAACACTGTCTTCCACAATAGTTGAACTAATTTACACTCCCACCAACAGGGTAAAAGTGTTCCTTTTTCTCCAAAGCCTCTCTAGCGTCTTGTTTCCTGATGATGTCCTATTTCTTCGGGTTAGTTTTTTGAATATTGAGAATAGGAGACTCTAAGGATACAGATCAGTAATAAAGTTTAGGATTCCTATTCTAAAGGCATGGCTTCTCAGTGGTAGCAAACTTTGTGTTTTACTACATTTTGGCCCAGATTAATCTAAGTAGTTTTTCAAGAAACAAACATTGAATAGAGTGAGGAACAGTTCGGCATTATAGCACTATAACTCCAGAGTGCACCATTTGAATGCTCTCTGTTTGTGTTAAAGTTTATTTTTGGTCGTTTTTCATATAATCACCAGTGCAGAAGACATTGGCCAAAGCAGTTGGGAAGATCCTTTCAGAACACAGCACATTAGTACCACTGTTCGTGCTTAAGAATGGTTCACAGGAGCTAATGTCATCTGGAATTTACTCATATTCTATTAGAATAAAGTATTCTCTTTTTTTGAGACAGGGTCTTACTCTGTCACCCAGGCTACTCAGGAGGCTGAGGCATGATAATTTCTTGAACCCGGGAGTTGCAGGTTGCAGAGCTCACTGCTTGGACTCCTGTGCTTGAGTGACCCTCCCACCTCAGGCTCCTAACTAGCTGGGACTACAGGCATACACCACCATACCCAGCTATTGTTTTTATTTTTTGTGAAGACAGGGTATCGCCATGTTGCCCAGGCTGGTCTTCAACTCCTGGCTTTAAGCAGTTCTGCTTTGGCCTCCCACGGTGCTGGGATTACAGGCATGATTCACCACACTGGCCTTGAAGTACTTTTAATGCTTCCAAAAGCCCAGGTGCCTTGAAGCAGCATCAACCACCACAAAGGATGGAGATGAGGGTACTAGGAAAATGTGTAACTAGATCTTGGTTACTGCGTCCAATGGTTGAGT